ATAGCATCAAATGTACCCAGAAAGACTGTGGATCTGTTGAGATACTGGTACGGGAACCAGACAAACTTTGTGAAATGGGGCGACGCCATCTCCAACGATTATACATTAGAGTGTGGCGTACGTTAAGGTGGGCTGACCTCTCCGGATCTATTTAACTCATACGTAAACGACCTGATTGAGGAACTTAGAAGTACAAAAATTGGTTGTCACAGGGTACAATTTTTTACTGAGTCCCTCAATCAGGGGACTTAGAAAGATATTAGCCATATGCGAGCATTATGCGCGGGGTCATGGCCTGAAGTATAATGTTAATAAAACGCAGATGATGGTGTTTCACTCGGGCAGAGGCCCGGAGAGGATTCCGTTAGCATTTCTGGACGGTGAAGCTGTTGCAAGAGTGAGTCTATTCAGATACCTGGGGCATATCCTGACTGAGGATTTGCGTGATAACCACGATATAGAACGTGAAAGGAGGGCTCTGGCTGTGCGGTGTAATATGCTCGCACGACGGTTTGCGCGGTGCAGTCCCAAGGCAAGGCTGACCCTGTTTAGAGCATATTGTCAATGCTTCTATACTTGTCAGCTTTGGTTGGACAGTACAAAAAATGCACGTAGCAGCATTAGAGTGCAGTATAATAATGCATTCCGCATTCTAACAGCCAACGCCTCCCCCTTGGACTCTACTGCCTCCGCTCATCTATGGCTCAGGTAGACCAGAAGATTACCAGCTGATCGACCCCGACGAAAACCGTATTGGCGGTCACTAATCAGCTGGTGATCCTCAAGGTACCGCATCAGCTGGCAGTTAATAATGGATTCCATTATTTTGGAGAACAAGGAGGTGATCGCGATAGGCCTATAGTTGGACGGGTCTGAGCGGTCGCCTTTTTTAAGGATTGGGTGGACAAAAGCTGTCTTCCATGAATTCGGGACTACGCCTTGGGAGTAGGAGTACCGGAAAAGACGCGTTAGGACCGGTTTTAACTCCGAAGCACGCGTCCTCAGCACAATTGGGGGGATACCGTCAGGCCCACTCGACTTCTGCATGTCCAGGGAGAGGAGTGCTTTGCGAACCGAGCGCTGTGAGAATAGCACATCCGGCATGGAGCACTCACACCGCGGGATGGTCGGCGGTGTTTTCGTCGTCGCTGTCTACGCGTAGTCAAAGGATGGACAGGTTCGAACCTTCAAGACTGCCGAGGCGTCGAGAACAGATGTCCTCTCTGACATACACGCAAACTCAAGCCCGAGGCACAAAGGAGTGCTCCAATTTGTACCCCGGGTAGGAAAGATACGAAATATCAGTCGGAGAGGAAACCTGCGCATCTAGCGCCTTTGCCTGGACCTTCTGCTGACCTCTCATCCGGACGGATATCAGTTTTCCGTCGATGCCCCTCTCGGCTCTTCGGACCATTGTCTGATCCGGAGTATGGTGCCACTCACGCTCCCCTCGCGGTTGCGTTCTGCAGGTTGCCGCCGTGTTTGGCGTTACAGGTCGGCGGATTGGGACGGAATGCGGTCTCTCTTTGCATTCTACCCATGGGGGTGGGTTTGTTTCTCGCCGGATGATCCCAGCGCTGTTCCTGTCTTTGGCACTGATGTGGTGCTACAGGGAATGGAACTATTTATTCCATCATCTGTGGTACCCATCGGAGGCAGATCTCAGCCTTACTTTGGTCGCTCCTGTAAGACTGCATTACGCAGTAAGCAGGAGTGTTATCAAGCCTGGGCTGCGACTTCGGCGACTCAGGATGTAAACACCAGCACACTTAAAAAGAAATATAACTTCGCCTCTAGGTCCTTCAAAAGAGTTATTGCCAAGGCAAAGTCAGAGCACATAGGCAGAATTGGCGAGAAACTAGTTCGCCTTCCTTCGGGAATGGTCTCTCGCTAAGGCTGTCCAAGAGAATTTCTGTAAGCCATCACTACCATCTCTGTACAGGGAGGACAACTCACTGGCCCAAGACGCATAAGACAAAGCCGACCTTTTAGGCTCCCTTTTTGCGTCCAACTCGATTCTTGATGACGGAGGGAAAACACCGCCGACGAGGACGTGTGCTCCGGAGTTAAAACCGGTCCTAACGCGTCTTTTCCGGTACTCCTACTCCCAAGGCGTAGTCCCGAATTCATAGAAGACAGTTTTTGTCCACCCGATCCCTCAAAAGGCGACCGCGCAGACCCGTCCAACTATAGGCCTATCGCGATCACCTCCTTGTTCTCCAAAATAATGGAATCCATTATTAACTGCCAGCTGATGCGGTACCTTGAGGATCACCAGCTGATTAGTGACCGCCAATACGGTTTCGTAGGGATCTATCAGCTGGTGATCTTCTGGTCTACCTGAGCCATAGATGGGCGGAGGCAGTAGAGTCCAAGGAGGAGGCGTTGGCTGTTAGTTTGGACATTGTGAAGGCCTTCGATCAGGTTTGGTACAAAGCGCTTCTTTCGAAGCTCCCTTCCTATGGGCTTCCCGAGAAATTGTGCAATTGGATCCCCAGCTTCCTTGCAGATCGGAGCATCAAGGTCGTTGTAGACGGTGCATGCTCCGATTACAAGACTATTAAGGCTGGTGTTCCACAAGGCTGTGTGCTATCACCAACGCTGTTTCTTCTGCATATGTTGCTAACTGGTAACATTCACTGCTATGCGGATGACAGCACTGGTGATGCTCTATACACCGGCCGTGCCAATATTTCTCGGGAAAACGTCGCCCAGTACCGGAACAAAATTGTGTCTGAAGTCGAGTCTTTGCTGAACAAAATCTCGGATTGGGGGCGACTACATCTAGTCCAATTAATCCTCAGAAGACACAAGTTTGCGCGTTTACCGCTAAAAAGAACCCCTTTGTCGTATCTCCTTCGTTTTAAGGCACTCCTCTTCTTGTCTCAGCCAGTATCGGAATCCTCGGAGTCGACTTATCGAGTAACGTGCAGTTTCGTGGTTATTTAGAAGAGAAGGCCAAATTGGCCTCTAAAAAGCTTGGCGTGCTCAGCAGAGCGGGACAGTATTTCATGCCGGCACACCGCCTGCAACTTTACAAGGCGCAGGTTCAGCCTCACATGGAATACTGTTCCCATCTCTGGGCAGGGTCTCCTCAGTGTCAGCTCCTTCCACTTGACCGCATCCAGCGCAGAGCAGCTCGTGTCGTCGATGACCGAGTCCTTTCCGATCAGCTCAATTCATTGGCACTGCGAAGAGATGTTGCATCCCTTTGCATTTTCCTTCGCATCTACCATGGGGAGTGCTCTGAGAAATTGTTCGGATTAATCTTAGCCGCCAAATTTCACGAACGCACATCGCGGCAGAACTCCCAATACCATCCACACTAACTGGATGATTGGCGGTCCACCACTGTGCGATTTAGAAGATGTTTTCTTCCTCGCACGACTTCCTTGTGGAATCGATTACCATCAGCGATTTTTCCGGACCGATACGACTTAGGGACCTTCAAGAAGAGAGCGTACTCCTTTTTAAAAGGCCAGCAACGCATTTGCAATTCCCTCCCTGGTGTTGCAGTTGTTCATGGGCGGCGGTAGTCACTTACCATCAGGTGAGCCGCATGCTCGTTTGCCCCCTCTCCTATAAAAAAAAACACAGTGTGCAGTTTGGTCAAACTTGTGAGATAGGATAGTTTTTATCCTTATAAGTGACACTCAATAATTTTTTATTACGAATTTAAGGATTTTTTGTATGAAGGGTCGTCGAAAAGGGCAGAACAACGTCTGCCTGATCAGATAGTTATTTATAAAACCTGTTTATTTTATTATTTAAACATTTAATAAAACAAAATATATCTTTATACTGCTATAAAGAGGTGTTTCACTAAATAGCTGTATACATTTTTATGCGTGTTTGACGATAAATATGCACGGATGAGAAAATTTGTTGTTTGAAATAGCGCACTGTCGAGCAATTTCCATGTAAATTACTTTCTGAATTAACTAGAACAATAAAGACCCAATTCCATACCAATTGTCGTCTAACTTTGCGACGTAAATGTGAATAATGGTAAATATTTTTTTAATAAACCTTATCCCTTACACTAGAATTTTCTCCTGTATCGTGGAGGCAGTTTAGAGACACAAATCGCACAAGGACAAACATCCAGACCCGGAACAATTATTTGCGGGCCATACAAATACTTGTTGCGTGAGGGATTCGAACCCGCGGCCCCCAGTGCAGCAACTCATTGCTAAGCCACTGCGCCACGGGGCCGTCAAAATATGACGAAAGAAGAAAGAAACTTTATTCTGACAGAAAATATTGACGCACACAAGTATATTTTATAGGCACGTGGTAGAACCATGCCGCAGCTATATTATAGTTTGGGTCGGCTTGACCGGGGAGGGATTCTGACAGAATACCAGCGTAAAAAACCAGTTTAATGCTGCTGTGTTTCGTATGGTGAGTGGAGAGAACCAGAGCCCCTTCCTACTGGGAACGACGCATTCCATCTTAGTCGTAGAGTGTAGATATCTGTGGGCCATAGCATCTATTTACAATCAGGTTGTCTGTGTGCCCGCTTGTCACCCTTATTCTATAAAAATATATAACTTACTAGCTGACCAGGCAGACGTTGTTCTAACCTTTTCGACGACCCTTCATATAAAAAATCCTTAAAATTGTAATAAAAAAAATATTGAGTGTCACATATTACGATAAAAACTATCCTATCTCTCAAGTTGGACCAAACTGCACAGAGTGTGCAAATATCATTGAAATCAGTTCAGTAGTTTAGGAGTTCATCGCGGACAAACAACGTGATACGTAATTTTTTATATATAAAGATATAATATACGCAAAATTAATAAATTTGACTTTGTCATCACTCAGCATCTGTTGCGCTATCACTGAAAATCGCATGCGTCATCACTGGCAACGCTGACTTTCAGTGATGACTTTCGGTCAAGATTTTAGGGACAACAGCCCCAAAATAAATATATGTAGATATTAAATATAAATTATATTGTGATAATAAATAAATAAACAATCGTACTCACTTGATTCAAGATCATTTCCATTTTCGCCCATCAGTATATAACACAGGGAACACTAGCGAACTTCTTAAACGCTGTCTCTTGAATAAATTACAGCGTGAATATAATATCGTAGCTGCCGTGACGTCACCAAATTAGCACGGTACACTCAGAGAAGTAAGTCTTTCTATTAAACAAAGAATTGAATTGTTTTGTTCTTTTCGTTATGGTTTCCATGTTTATATGTTATATCCATATTCAATGTCTATAGTAACCTTTGTTTGATTATGGTTGACTATAATTGAATAAACAGATATTAAAACAATCAGCTTAGAGAAATTCAAATGGGCTAAAAATTGAGTCCACTTGACGGTGAGTGCATACTGCAGGGTTTCAAACCGAAAGACCATAGATGCCTCCTTACACGCCTCACCTGTCATCGCATGTAGTAGCTCTTTGACCCGGACATATTTATTTTTAACGTGAACACAGAAGTGCTTGGTGGAAATAGACAAAAAAGTAAAGTCCAAGTCTATATAGGTCCCAATCCAGTACTAGGTACAGGTCACCTCTTATTACTGAGACGGTACAGATTAGTAAGCCCTATTCATAACTCGCTCAGCGACCTTTAGCTTCTCCATACGGCCAGCAGTGAAGTACCTTGTCTCAGATCCATATATGTGACACCCACTAGTTGTATTATAATATTGTTATAAGTTAAGAAGAAAAGTTCCCGAGTGGCAACCTCGAACCGGTAAGCGTAGCTTCGGCGTGTTAGCGTGTTGGCCCCCCACCGCACTAGAAGGAGCGACATCCTGGTAAGATATGCAGGGAGTCGATGGATACTGGTGGCTCAGGATCATGCATTGTGTCATGCCTTTTTCAATGTTAACAAGTCAATATTCAATGTTACAGCTGGCAAATATTCATTATTACAACAATTAGTTCGCGACGCTGCTCCAGTGCATGTTGGCAGATTCCTCTTAAAAATTGTATTCATCAGATATGCAAGTTTCCTCAGGATGATTTCCTCCTTTACCACACTTAAAACTCCTTTTATACTACGGCTCTTAAAAATTTCGATGGGAGTCAAAAAACACTAAACCCACTTTTCTAATGAGATATTAAAGTTTATACTGGTTTTCCTATTTCCTCAAATTTGAATATATCAGTGTAGTCTAAGCGGAGACCGTCGAAAAAGGTTGGTCGTACGGAATAAGAAGAAAAATATACTTTTTATTTTATATTCTGAGTATTAGTTATGGTAGCTCCACACATGGCTATTTGTATTTGCGTATTTGCTGTATTTGACAAATAGGTTCCATTTGTGGAGAGTATATTTGCCAAACTTATTGCCGTACTTGCCTATTTAGCAAATATAGCCAATAACAAATACGGCTTACCGAACGTCTGTCGGTTTTCCAAGGCACAACAAAGGAGACAAATAGGCAAAAACACACAAATATACTGGCCACACATAGTTGGGCTCACAAGCGCGTGATCTGTCAACCAGTATGGGCGGACCTGCTTATAACCTCTTAATAAATGATTATTTAGGTACATACGGAAAATGAATTGGGACAAAGAAAAGGTTGTAAGGTTTCTAGAACTTTACCATTGAACCCATTTATTTGGGACCTTGGAAACGAGAGGCAACGGGTAAACGGCGCGTGGAATACCATTAAAGACAATTTGGGTGTACCATATACCATGCAAGATAAAAAAAGAAGGAGTCGCTTATGCCTGCGTATCGAGGTTACAAAACCAAAATAAAGAAAAACGAACGCTCCGGATCATGTGCAGCCGATGTGTACAGCCATATAATAGCAACATGCGTTCAAAAAATATAATCCCTCTGCAAGTGCAACATCCATTAGAGGGCGGCACTGAAAATTTCGGGAATCAAGGAAGTGACACAACATTACTATTTAAAAATATATTTATTGCTTTTCGAAGTATTCTCTGCGAAATTTGACACATTTTCCCATACGATGGAGCCAATCATTGAAGCAACCATTCCATTCGGAAGTTGGGGTCTCCAAAATGGCGTCCACAGCTTCTTCAGGTGATGAAAATCTCTGTCCACACAATTTATTATTTATTTTAGGGAAAGTATAGAAATCATTAGGGCTTAGGTCGGGGCTGTACGGCGGATGGTCTAATAATTCTATGTTTTCTTGCTCTAAAAACTCTTTTGTTCTGTGTGCGATGTGAGAACTCGCATTGTCGTGATGGAGAATGATGCGGCGGTTGCAGTTCTCTTTAATATGACAGGAACAGTGGAAATATTCCATTCCCGATACTTTTAGTGCAGCCTATGTATGTACTCGTAGGTACAACTACTTTTTGCTAGCAAACATGTTAAATTTTTTGGTATCTGGCTCTTGCAACTACTAGCAACTTGATACTCCATCTTAGTCCTTAGGGGTGACGACGCATCTGCATTTTAAGTCAGCATCCACAGCATACACTTACCATCAGGTGGAATGTGGGCTCGTTTGTCACTCTATTCTATAAAAATGTTCACAATTGGACCCTGTAGGTAGTGCTGTTGTCGAGATACATAAATCACCCGTGCGAAGCCTGGGCGGATCGCTAGTTAATTTATATTGATACAGTTGGAGTTACTAACATGTCACCAACTATACATCGACGTAATCAACCATCTACAATTTTGTGAGTTATCTTTACACCTCTGTTTATTATCTATATTTACTTACTCTCTACAACTGAGAGCTCATTGTATTAATATTTGAGCACCTAAAGATTTTTGCGCATTAATTTAACTGTTGCAAGGCATTTAGTTCTGCTTCCTAAAATTTAGAATTATCGGTTAGAGTTAGTTTAGGATGAGTAAATTTTTATAGATGTAAGGTTTACAAACAAACAGACAGTCCCCTGAAGATAAATGGCTGACCCACAGACACCTAAATTTATCATCGATTAAGAATCGAAATACAGATCCATTGTCAAATCTGAGGATCCCTAGTTCTACGAACCGATTTTGAGGCCAGTCAAAGGAGACTAGTTACCTGTGCAGGACAGGATTAGGGTTTGGGTCCCAGGACGTCTCGTGTCTCGAAGTCCCGGGACTTTTCGAATTTTAGTTGTCTCGAGTCCCGGGACTTTCGGATCGAGACTCGAGACGAGACAAGATTGTAGAAATTGTTATGTAATCATTTTTATTTTCAAATAATTGAAGGAGCCTAGCGCCATGTGTTAGTTTAATGAATAATTACTTGGTCTACTACGTAACTACTGAGTACGCAACACAATAAATTAAACAAATATGTGATTATGAGAATTAACAATGATATTATGAACAATGATTAGATACTAGAATTACTAGATAATAGTAAAGTGATTGATTGATGATTTTTAACTAAGTTCGTTTCATAACTATAAGATTTAACTGTTTAGAAGTGCATCTGTGTGTGACTAAAAGAAATAAACAAAGCAATTATTAAGACTGAAATTAACGTTAAAGTTATTTAATTTTCTGCTTAATTGTTTAAAAAATGTTGATTTTTACAAAAAATTACCTCATTTTAATACGTTTTACCAAAAATTAACTCAATTAAAATTCTTCAAAAAAGGCTTACCCATCTTGAAAAAAAGAAACAAAAAGTTTTTTCTTAAGTGTCGAAGTCCCGGGAACTTGATTATAGACTGTCCGGTGTCCCGGGATTTTGAAATTGTCAAGTTTGGAATTCCCAAACCATAGACAGGATAAAGTGCACCTGGGATCACAAGATCAGCAGTTGCAATAACGAGCATTATACTTACAAGACTAGTCTCCGTTATGAAGGTCCGCATGACCGGTCGGACTGGGGGATAATTACTAGAGTAAGGGTAAGGAAGAACCCTTTTTTACTAGTAACGAGGCATTCCATCTTAGTCCAAAGAAGTGACAACGGACCTACATTTTGATTGTTAATTAGGGATAAATGTAGATATTTGTAGTATGTAAATTTTGATGCTTAATCGAGGATAGATTTAGATGTCAATGTCGATACGACTTAGGGATCTTCAAGAAAAGAGCCTACTCATTTTTAAAAGGCCGGCGACGCATCTGCAATTCCGCTGGTTCCCCTGGTGTTGCAGTTGTTCATGGGCGGCGGTAGTCACTTACCATCAGGTGAGCCGCATGCTCGTTTGCCCCCTCTCCTATAAAAAAAATGTCTATGGGCCGCAGCATCCGTTTACCATCAGCTGGACTGTGTTCGTTTGTCACTCTTATTCTATAAATACATATAATTGAAGTTGGAATGAACTCTTGTACATTTGAGATGTATTTAAATAGAGTGGCCATTTACAGGCGACTTTTTGTATGACACGCCATAATGATTTCTCAATTCTACAAGTGAAGCGCGTTTATTGTACCAATGAAGACTCATTAGGCGGCGTGCTCACGTCCTTGCTTGTTATAATAAAATTCGGCGTGACTGCCACAGCAAAAACTGTACGCCATTTTAACTGTTTATTATTTATTTTGTATGTGAATCTTATGACATTCTGCTTATTTTATATTAAGTGGTTCGTGTAAAAATTATCGACTTAAATCATTACGGTGTCCGTACTTTCGACTTTTTTTAAATTTAGGACCGTGTACCGTAGGTGTCGTGAGAGGTCACAGAGAGAAATAAACCAGGCCTGGGCTTTGCTACTTTAAATTGCTGGAGAGCCATTCTAATCTCGCCCAGACTGACTTCCGGGATATCATCGGATAAGTATCGGATAAGACTTGATATTCGATCGTTACTCACACGCAAGTATGAGTAACATACTTACGTGGGGCTCCAACGATGACGTGTACAGCTGTCCATAGAACGTTTCAATCTCACTCAAAATCTCAGGTGACCCGGAAACGATGCTGCCGCGCTCGTACTTCAGCTTTGACAGTTGGATTTTTCTGGCAGACAAATCTCTGACAAAGACTTTGAAGCCTTGGCTATTCCTAATAAAAACTAAAAAAATAAAAAACTGCGGTTGCCCACCTGTCTGATAAGCGTGGCAACTATGGCAAATAGTAATCTAAGAGGAAC